CGATATATTAACCCTGAGACGAATCAATGAGGCAAAAGGCTAAAGGTACTTTAGCGTTGAAAGGGTACTTCTTGGAAATGTCACGGGGAAAATGAATACCACCCAGCCAAATGTTTGTGGATTCTTCTGGGCTTTTCATTTGGTTGTTCACTCAGTCATTCAACTCAGCCTCTGTGTTTAAACGTTAACCCATTCACACCTCAAGGGACTCTTAAAGTGCGGGAACTGTAGTACCAAAATGCTGCTTGTGTAAACAAGTAAATACACTAGAAATATCAGGCAATTTCATGGAAACATTGGGAGAAAACAAAAGTTTTTATAGAAACGCTCAAAGACTTAATGGGCTGTTTCAGCTATCTGAGATGTCTGCTATCTTATCTGTAGACACCAACCTGAACTGCTTCTATTTGAAAGACACCTCCAAAACCAAAGCATGCAGGCGTCATCCTAAAATTGCTCCAAACTTCTAAATTAAAAAGTGTTGCTTGCATCAATGTTTTATGAGACTTTATCCTGCTGTTTATTTGGTATTACAGTTATTTTGACAGATATATTGAAGAATTCCTACTAACCTATCTCCTGGATGCAACAGGAAGTGCTCATGTATCTGCATCATCTAAATCACTACAGAACTACACATAAATGGCATCATAATGAATACCTGTTGAGCAAATCTATGGTTTGTTTAGCATATTATAGTGCAGAAATCACGTATAGTGTGAGAAGTCAGGTCGTATTCGAGCACAGCATCGTACAGGGATGAGAATGTGACTTGTTAGCTTTGGTCCGCGAGGAAGTCGTACCGTTTGAGATGGAGCTGAATGCTACGAGTGAGAAAGTCACACAGTGTATGCCCAGTTTAAGATGGACGACCGTTATGTTTAGATCTGGCCATCTTCAGATAAATAGGAAACTTTGGGAATAACTATTTTTTTAAAGAAAGGAGCAGCAGGCTACCTGTTAGCTCATCAGTCCTGTAGGACTTAAACTATATTTCTCTGAACAGAGGCTGTTCATGATGATAGTAAACCATTAAAATCATTAAGATAGTATAATATATTAATATAGTATATATATTTAGATCATTAAGATAGTAATACCCTTTAATAAGAAATGTTTCTTTAAAATCAACAGCTTTTAATAAATGATCTCTAGCGGCAGGCTGTAGTATATATATATATATATATATATATATATATATATATATATATATATATATATATAAGTCCTTGATTAAAAACTAAAAATACACACAGATAATCTGTTGGGACTCAACTTCTGTTCATTGTAGTTTTTGCTTTGCTGCTGTTGGTTTAAAAACTTTCTTTATTTGACCTATTTTCACTATCGGAATATTTGAGTCATTTTACCGGACCTTTGTGGCATACAAGTGTCTCCATTTCAGCAGGCCGTCCCAAAAAGACCATTTCAGAGAACACCAGAGTACCTGAACTGGGGTATGTACTCAGACGTTACCCAATAGAGTCGCTGGGTGGGACTTGTGGTTAACTCATGCTGACTGGTCGTAGCTCAGTAGGAAATTATATTGGCAGATGTCGCCAAACAACCAGCATTTTAAAATTGGAAGAGTAGATGGTGAAGCAGAGTGGTGCTGTTTCTGAACTGCCAACACCAAAATATGTGGTGGAAATCTAACCACATCTTAGCTAACATTGTTTCTGTAGAAAGCTCTGTAAAAAAAATCTAGTGATTTTTCTGATGATTGAATGTTGCTTTATTTTGATATGGTGATAACAATAGTTTTTTGGAGAATTTGCATATCCATTTTCAAATTCATACTAAAATTATTACCAGAAAATCACGAGAAGTGAATATTTTATTATTATTATTATTATTATTATTATTATTATTATTATTATTATTATGACTTCTCTTTAAAGCCGCCAATGTGACTGCTTTCTCTAGGGGCAGCCTTTGACGCACCACATAAAAAGTGATCCACTGTAGACACATTATACACCCCGTCTAGTAACCCCCGCCTCAACTCCAGCACACTTCATTTGTTGCCTCCAACAAGCTTCAGCTTCCAGCCTGAGCAGAAGCATCGTCGGTGAAAACCACCTGCTACGAGAGGATCAAATAACTAAAAAGACGATCCTCCCCGTTTCCTTCACCCCAGTATTCCCAGCTAAGACTCTGCAGACAAGGCCAATCCCGTATGTTGATGTATCCTGTTGCGTTTTGTGAGAGATGTGATGGTGGTGTTGGAGGTCAGTCACGTTCCACTGAAGGAATATAAAGGGAAGGCAATTGCTGAGGTGATAGTGCTGCTATTGATGTAACCAATTTCATTCTCCAAATGGCGTTTGCCACAGTGGACGGGGAGAGATGGGTTTAATCTCAGAGGTGAGATGAAAACTATATTATGGTGAGAAAAAAGGAGGAGGAAGAAGGGAAGGAGGTTGGAGAAAGGGGGGTGGTTTCTTCATGGAGGTTTAAAAAGCCCACTTTCTGAGTAAGTGTCACAAACTGGTGTCTCAATTAGACCCATTTTGTGTTTTAGATAAAACATGAACCAAATTGTTTGTAGTGGGTGTAACTTTCAACATGCCTCACGCTGAAAAGCAGCTGTGTAAACTTCAAGTGAACTGCTGACAAAAACGATGCAATAATCCTTCAATGTCTGTTTGAGGACATGTTTTAAATCTGCCGACTTTTGATGTTTTATTAATCAATTGTCTGATTCACTCTTTGTTTTGCCTTTTATCTAAGCTCCCAGGTGGCCCAGCCAACCTAGATTCTAACAGGCATCCAAACAGCCACCACCGATATGAAGTTAGGTTTTCAAGTGTAGCGCTTGTTCACTATCAATTCTAGGATTTCAATACAAAGCTTAAATCAGATAGAAAATAACAGGTGGAAGAAACGTCTGAGCCTGCTCACAGACATCTAAAGGTCCGGCTCAGATGGAGCGTGCTCAGTGCATGCATGGAAGGACAACTTGGCTTAGCAGACCTTCCTGCTGATTCTCACTCATTTAGCTACTGGGTGCACAAACAATAGATACCCTGTCCTCATGGGACAATCTTACTGACAATCTCTATCCAAAAGTTTGTTTGGGTACTTTGCTGTTAGTCGTTGAATGGAGCTGTTCCCTCGAGATACGATCTGGAGTTTTCCCCCTTTCAGGAGTTGTGTTATGTTATGTATGATTTTTATAGAAACTTGTAGAAGTTGTAACCCTGTACTGTTCTATAATGTAGGCAATATATATTTTTGTTTGTTGCCAAGTTCCGTCCCTCGTCCTGTAAAGCCCCCCTCGCAATTTTAATTGAGTGCTGTTCAGCATTAGTCAATAGTGTTAGACATCCGCTTATGTACAGACGTTAATCATAGAGCGTGCACGTGTGTTTGAGGATGTACTAAGACAGATGCAGGGTTGGCAACCTTTCTCACAAACAAGTACGTCTTGAAAATATCTGAATTTAAAAAGAAATTATATATATATGTGTGTGTGTGTGTATATATATATATATATATATATATATATATATATATACATATATACATGTGTATATATATATATATATGTATATATAAACATAACATGAGAATAATAATTGTACAACTATGTGTTTTAGCTCTGTTGGCAGGCTAGCAGTGTTTGTTTTCTCAGAAATAAAAAATACTTGCATTGTATTCACACATTTTTTTGCAAGCAAGAATTCTATATTTTTATTTGAATAAATGGGCGATGGTGGTACAGGAGTTAAGTGCTCGCCCCGTAATCGGATAGTTGCAGGTTCGAGCCCCGCTCAGTCTGTCACTGCTGTTGTTTCCTTGAGCAAGACACTTAACCCACCTTGCCAGCTGGTGGTGATCGGAGGGACCGGTGGCGCCGGTGTACGGCAGACTTGCCTCTGTCAGTGTGTCCCAGGGCAGCTGTGGCTACAATGTAACTCATCACCACCAGGGTGTGAATGTGTGTGAACGGGTGAATGACTGATTGTGTTGTAAAGCTCCTTGGGGGGTTCCAAGACTGTAGAAGGCTCTATATCAAATACAGGCCATTTACCATTTTAAAAACACAGCTATTGATGACATTATTGAAGCTATCTTTCTTTCTTTTTTAAATCCAAATAACCCTACTTAATCTCAAATGAGATACTTTTGTTACTGACTCATTTCCTGCAGGTCTCATATTGTTTTTGGTAAACTCTGCTTGTGACAGTGTGTCACATGCATTTATTTTTAAATAAACCCAACAGGTTCCAGGGTTAAATGGCACTAAAAAGTGAAAAAACTGTTGCTTTTTCAGTACCAAGTCATTGTTGAACCAAAGGAAAACGCTGAATTTATCAGCAGCAGGAAGTGGGTCCAAAAAGACCAACAAATAATAACGATGTGATCACCAGATGTAAAGTCTTTAAGTTGCTTTCACGTTCACTCTGCTTAGTTTAAGAAAAAGGATGTCACTTTATCACTTGGAAAATTAAGTAAGTAACTTTGGAATGACATGAGCTCAGTGTCTCTCCTTGCCCTGCGGTTTGTGTGTTTACTTAATCACCGGCCAAGTAGTTAAAGCAGATCCCAACAAAACAGAGCCGTCTTCACACCTCTGTTTTCTGCAGAATTTATAAACACTGTTTGAAACATCATTTACAAATATTGATGGCTCATATGACCAGCTGATGTTTATAAATCCTGCTTGAAACATTGTGTAACTCCCACTGGCAACAGAGACTGACATGGAGGTTAATAAAGAGCATTCACAAACACTGACTGTTGTTTAAAACAGCATTTATAAAACAAGTTGGTTTGCTGGAGACAAACTATGACCTGTTGCTTTGTGATCCTCAACAGAAACACAGAATACAAGACAAGGAGGATTAAAGATTTACTGGAAGAGCTGTTGGTGCCCTCGAAAACCAAAAGGAATGCTTGTATCAGATTTTGGTTGAAAGAGAAGAGAAATAAAAAAGCAATACTCTATTTTAACCATTAAAACCATAACAACAGAGGGTTGAGTTGAAACTAACCTGGTGGATCCATGAAGTCAAAGTGTACTAGGTCATCAATACCCAGTTTCTTCAGCTGCAGTACCACAGAGCCAAGATTAGACCTCAGGATTTCTGGATATGTGTTGTCCTGTGTCATTGCAAATGAAAATGAATCAGTCACAATGCTCATGATCTAGTCCTGAACCACTCATCTGTAAGCTGGATCAAAAACAGGAAGTCTAAGGCATTTGAAGGAGTTTAAAAAATCTAAAACTAAGAGTGGTGTGGAAGAATTAAGCCTAGTTTATACATCTCAGTCAGGAGGTGTGGAGGACACAAGCACACATCGTCGAGATGTTTTTTTTTCAAACTTCTCCGTTGTCTGGGGAGTGTTGCACAGCGAGTACCCACCACCCACCATGACAACAGGGAGTGGGGGGGGGGGGGGGGGGGGGTTAAACCATCAATGCAGACATGTCTCTGTTCAGCGTAGTTTCCTATTGTGTATTTATATTGTGTTTATATATTTCAGAGACTATAAAATCGGGTAATTTCCTTCAACAAATTAAGGGTGCTGCACATACTCCTTCAGCGAAGGGTTGTATAAGTCTTGATATCGTCAAACTTTTTCCTGCAAGACGTTTTACAACCTGCTCCATGTCTGCTGCCAGATGCCTTCAGTACTCTTTTATTTTACTGTTGCTGAATTTAAAGGAAGTAATGTGCTGACCAATCACAGGCTTGTGTTCTCTGTAGCTTTTGATGGACATCTAAAAATTAGACATGTCTCCATCACCCTCCTCATGCCCGCTTGCATCAACGGATGAAGGCATAGCCTGTCTCTGCAGCCCCGCTGATGGAGAAGTAAAAGCTAGGCTTTAGCCTCAGTGCTTCCCTTACATAGGCGTAGCCGTGGCGGCCCGCCACGGCTGAAATCCCACCGCCACGCCAACAAGATCCCAAGTTTTATTGATTGTTTTTTTTTTGTTTTGTTTTTTTGCGCCATTTCCCGAAGAAGCAGCGGGAACTACTGTATTGTTGCTTGTGATCACAGCCGGCAGGCAGCAAGGAGGAGGAGGCAGGGCAGGGTGGTTACAGCTAGGTATGAGCGTACGGATAAAGCATTTTTGACGAATACGAGCATGAAACGAGTAAAACTCGTAAATATCTGTAATTGTGCTGAAGGAAAATCCTCACTGGGTAACTGACTGTCTTCACGCTCTGTGATTGGCCAGTCACATAGAGCGCCCGCCCCACCCTACACACAAAACTCTACACTCGGGAGCTCAGTCAGTTCGGCCCAGGCATCCACGCGCACACACAGGCAGTAACGGAGCTCTTCACTGTCTCTCACATTTCTTCAGAACTCCCTACGTTTTCTTCAGCTCGCCTCTTTTTCGGTTGAATATTTAAAGTTACTTTTTTCGTAACGTACGTGGTGCATTTGACAAGACAGCTAAAAACGGCTCGTGCATGCGTCGGTCACTGCCTCCGCTCCGGTCGGGTTTTTTTAAATTATTTTAACTCTCTCCCTCTCTATCTCTCTCTCACACACACCTTAATCAACAGTGTTTTGTTTAACTGTGTGTGGGAAAAATGCCAACAATGTTAGGAAAAAATCTGTTTAATCAAATTAAAATCAAATGTTTTTAGTATTTCATATTTCCTAGTTCCTACTGCATGAGTTCAGATGCATTAATTCAGGCACTTAAATATTAATGTTCTGATTTTATTGAAAAACTTGTTCTGTAATAGTTCCTTTACTATTGTGATCAAAAATATTTAATCTCAGTTCTGAGGCTGCTCTGTAAATAGTTTTCAAATAAACAATACACATAGCAACTTCTGATCAATCCATATTAATTTCAGATTTAAAATAATGTATTGATGTAAACCACACCCACTCATTTCCAAATAATAAATAAGAGGTGCATTAATCTGTGTATCTCCTTTGATCTGCATTAGTGATATTTTCAGCACCAGAACAATGAAGCTAAAAAACAGATTCCTGAGTTTATGTTAGTAATTTTATTTATTAGATGCATCTGACCTGTTCTATTTTTCTCTGAAATGAGATCAAATCAGTGCTTCTATGGGTTGTCTCCTCTCTGCACTAGAAAAATGTACTTTATTATAAAGTTCACTGTAATGCATCTTGATGTTCTTAACAATAAATTAAATCAAAGATATTGGTCAATAATGCTGAATATGTAAATTTGTGTTTCAGTCATTTTTATACTGGCTTAAAAATACTTCATTAAAGCCGGGCGTACACTGTGCGACTTTTTCACTCGTAGCACTCAGCTTCAGCTCAAACTGTACGACTTCCTCACAGAGCAGATCTCACGAGCCAGGCGCTCACACTGTACGACCCAGTTCTCGGATGTGGCCTGACTGCTCACACTTTACGTCTGGTAGCAACACGTCGGCCCTAAAAATATGCTAAAAATAGCAGTTTTTACGCAACACTTTTTGGTCTTGTTTTGCCTGTTGTCCTTCGGGAGTGCTGCAGGAGGACACGCAGCGATTTATGGGGTTTGGATTACGAAAACGAAATAAAGAAAGTAAATCTGTGTTTTGTGATCAGTTTAATTTGACATGAACACGACAAACACGCTTTCTTGACAATCTTTGTGAGTAAAAAACGTGTAGAAATTAAAACGAACAACGTGTGTTATTAGGGAAATAGCGACCGAGCGGCGTTGATGCAGGATCGCGCATGCGCCGTGAGCGGTTCTGATACTTTTTGGGTCGCAGCTGCTCGCAGCGCCGCTTCAACAGTGCGATACCCTCACGAGGGACGAGCGAAATATTAAACACGCCAGAAGTCCGTGCGACCTCACGACTGCTGATCGGCAGCTGGTCACGTGGTGTTAATCGCCTCTCGTAACCCCCTGTACACTACAGGACCGCTCGGCGCAAAACTCACCCCGATGTCGTGGATTCTCGCACGACTGGAAAATCGGCTCAAAAAAGTGAAAAAGTCGCACAGTGTACGCCCGGCTTAAGTCTACTAAACAGGGGTGTAGAATGTTTTTAATAGGGCCAGCCCAGTAATGATCTTGGACCAAAATAAAGGGGTTAGAAAGTCAAATAAAGGGGGCAGAAGGAGATGTTTTTCCAGATGCCAAGAAAAATTAAATGCCAACCCCCCCCTGCAAAGTGTGTCACTGAGAGTTTAAAACAAAAATTATTCTTGTGCAAATATTGGTGTATTCACCTTTAATACACACCTGGAAAAATTCCTAGGGGAAACACTGAGCCTGTTAACGTAGAAAGCTGAACTCCCTGATCCCCTTTGGTTTTGGCTGCACTCAGACTATTCGTTAGCTCATCAGTTCGTAAGCTGGTAACTATTTAAACATTTACACAGAAACAAATTTCAGGAAAAAAGATTTCCCTTAAGAGGAAGAGCAGGAAAGAGTTTTCACAAGGGTCTAAAATCTAAAGCGTCATAGGAGTAAATTCTGCAAGACCGTAGAGACTAGCTAGAAGGCTGCTTGGAGGCAAATACAAGATGCTTTAGGCTCTGCAGAATGTGATTCTTTAAAAAAAAATCAATTATGAGTTTACGTTTTAAATAATTCCAGCAGTTTTCAAACTACTCCTTTTTTTTCTTACCTGCATTTCTGTTTTGTACGCTTTCTCTGTGTAAAGGCGGAAACATTTTCCTGGGCGTGTTCGTCCAGCGCGACCTGCTCTCTGCTGAGCGGAGGCTTTGCTGATGGCTGTGACTAAGAGCGATTCCACTCTGATGCGTGGATTATACACCTGAGAGGAAGAGAAAGACAAAGCTCAGTTACACTTTAGAGAAGCTAAAAGGAAACAAAATATAGAGATTTTAAAAAAAAATGAAGTTAAGCTAATATCAACATGCTCCAATCTACAAGCTGCAGAGTGGCACGCACAGCCGATCCACCGTAGTGCATTTATAATCCCTTTTTGTGCCGTGTGTATGACTTGGCTCCAGGCTAGTGAAATGTCAGAGGAATGAGTAACAGGCTTTTCCATCTTCGCCTGCTGTCAGCTGTGAACTGCTGTTTATCTGGGGATTCTCAGGCAACAGACGCAGATGATCGTGGCAGATAAAGACTGGTGGGGGGGAGGGGAAGCTAACCTTTTGCTTGGCAAATCCAGGATCAATTACAAACACCACTCCGTCGATGGTCAGGGACGTCTCGGCAATGTTTGTTGACACGACGACCTGCGGACGAGAAGGCACGTGACTCAGAGTGATCCACTCGGAGGGACCGGCAAGGCTTTGGAGCTCGACCTCACATTGAGATACTTCTAATCAATGTTGTGTATGTTCGCAGGTTAATCAGGACGGAGTTGTGTTTTAATCTGAATAAAGAAATCTGATGATTAACAAAAACATTCCTTCATACTGAACTGAGTTTTCTTTTCATACCAGAGAGAACTCCATCACTGGCTCCAGTTTGGTGGCCAGCTTCTTAAGCAGATGAAACACAACACTGCATGCTACTCATGTTAAACTACGACTACAGTCTGCCTCAAACACAAGCAAAGGCAAAGGTTTGTGCTGAACTTAAAATAGAAATTTACTTTATTTTCTTTTTTTTAAAGTAGTGTATTATTGATAAATCAATCATTATTTTTATATTAGATTGTTCGTAAAACTTAAGCCTAATGTGCACTGCTCCCTCCTTAAAGAGACTATCAGTAGTTTTTACCATTAATATCTGAAAATATCCATCGAAATGTTGAAAATGAATAAAATGATGTCCAGTCATAATGTTGGCAGCTTTTTACTATATACCGTAAATCCTCTAATACAGGCCCGGGCCTGTATTTGACTCAAGCTCATCAAGCTCCAGGCCTTTATTGGAAGGAGGGCCAGTATTAGAGGCAGGCCTCTATTTCTATTTGAGCAAAATGAACTAACGGTTCGCTGGAGTTTTTGACAATTAAATTTGCGCCCACATTTTCAAAGTTAAACACATTTCTTTTAACAAAGGTAGTTCCTGCTTCAGCCCTCCCCCCCTCCCCCTGCGCAACGGCTGCAAACTCACTGATGCGCCTGCAGCCTCTCAAAGTTCCTGCTGCTCTAAACATTAAAATAATTATTTCATTTTCTGTTCCTCACTTCTGATTACCTTCAATGGTGTCTGTTTGTTGCAACAGCAGGTACAAAAACTAACTTGTTTTTATTTGACTATTTTTCTGTCCTGCCTGTTTATTATCTTCCTGCATCTCCTCTCAATCCTAAAGAGAAACTGCTACCTGGGTTCATATATATTCACCTTATGAGTTACCTTTGAACTGCAGTTCTAAAAGATCTACCGACCGCTAAAACAGCGGAGCGCTTGCTGTTTGGCGGCCGTATCAGTGATCAGTGCGTCGGAGGACAAGGTGATGCCCGCAGCGCCCCGCTCCACAGCATGCAGCGAAACGCATCAGGCGCAAATAAAAGACAGAAAACATTAAAGGAAATGAACTGACATGAACGATCGCATGTTAAATTAGTTTTTGAGGTGGCGACACCTGATTGTTACTGTGGCCGTGCTCAGGAGGCAGATCTACCGACCGCGAAAACAGCTGAGCGCTCCCTGCTTGCCGGTGTTCCGGGAATTTCTCCTACCCCGTAAACCGTCCTACCCTACTTTATCAGAACACCGGTCGCATCAGTGATCTGTGCGTCGGAGGACAAGTTGATGCGCCCCGCTCCACAGCAGCGATACACATCAGGCGCAAATAAAAGACAGAAAACATTAAAGGAAATGAACCGACATGAACGATCGCGTGTCAGTACCTACGGTCTGGCACAGCGCGTTGCTGATCACAGAGAATGTGATCATACGATAATTCAATAGGGAGCGTGGTTTCACAGACGCGGAAGTGATAGCGTCAGTGAAATGCCGGCTGCTCTAGGAAACCCCCGAGCGTTCGAGCGTCAACGAAGTGACACGGAAATGCCGGGCTTTCCAGAAGTAAGTAAGATAACCTACTATGAGCTGATAGTTCGTTGGATTGATCGGTAGGTTGGAAACTCTGATCATGAATCTGAAGAAACGATGACTGAGCTGGAAAGGCGACTTCCGTTTATAGCTGCGGTTTGTGACGTAGGTGCGACGTGGAGGGAATCCCCGCGAGGGGCATGCTGGGAGTCCCTACTTCGCGGATTTTCACCTATCGCGGCCAGGTCTGGAACGCATCTACCGCGATAAACGAGGGATTACTGTAGTTCATACACCCCCTACTGCTGCTCTCCAGAGTGTTCTGCAGCATAATCAGCACGTTCTCTTTGAACTTGATAGTATAATGACCTGGCTGGGGTTGTAAGCCAGGTGCATTCTGGGTATTGTGTTATATGTGTTTCCTATCGTTCTGCTAGTTCCTATGTGCTGATTTGCGTGTTGTGTGAGTGTTATGTAAGCCACAGGGAAGGTGATGTGTGTTCTGTGGAGCAGGTTGAATTAGCATGGTTAACTGACACCGTGACTCTGTGTGGTAGGAGCGTGATAGAGGATCGTGTCTGTAGCGTTACAAAGCGTTTAAGACAAAGCCTAATAAAGGTCTGCGTGAACCCCTACTGCCCCCTGCTGGTTGATTTGGAGACTATAACCCTGCCGCTGGGACGCTTGTACTTGCTTGTTACCACATTCCATCCGGCCACAATAAGAGACCGGCCTTAATTTACCTCCACTGACTCCGACACCGGCCAAAATTGGAGACCCGTCCTTTAATTGAATACCGGCCTGTATAGGAGGATTTACGGTAACCATAAAAATTGGGTCTAAAATACATAGGGCGCAAGTCTAGCTTCTTTGGGGAACGCTATACTAGACGCCATGTTTCCTTCTAGTGGGCCTGCGCTTGTCGATGATGTCACACTAGATGATTGGCTGGACTTACGGACCATGCGTTACCACTTTCGAAAACATTTAGGATGTAAGAAACACAAATTCAATAACAAAACTGCTAAACTCTTTCCAAAACATGTGTAAGAACAGAATCAGTGACAAGATGCAACATATTAAGGCCCAACCATTTTGCCATAGTATGATGATGTTGAGGGTCTGACCTCATGAGGAAATTACTATGCAGTGATTTTCTCCAAAATGACTGTGCTTAAATTGCTCTGAAAAGCAAATAATCACATCAGCGCCAAGAAACTTCTTTTCCCATGATGCTTTGCACACGGAAGCATTGGGTGATGTCACCGCCTAGTACCAGAAACACGTTCTGCGCATGTGCGGGAAGCCGTGGAGCTTTTCCCGCAAACTAAGACCATAAATCTTCAGCAGAGACAAAGAAACCTCGTTCTTTCGCCCAGGATACCTGGCGGTGAGGACACGCTTGTCGAACGCTCCGACTTCTTTGAGCACGCGGAAGCTCTAAGAGCCAAGTTGAGCCCACGGGACCGCTGATCTGCTCGTTTCTGCTCCCCTCCAGCTGATGTTTGAGGACACAGAACCAGCGGAGGGAAACAACAACTCCATCCAGCTCTCAGAAACGCTGTAAGTTGTCAAACTCAGCCCAAAAGGAACTTCGTTTTCTTTGTGTCCAGCCGTGGAGAAACACTCGTGGAGCCAAACAACGGAGAAAGCATCAAACCGGCGGATGACGCTGAAAACTGCGGAGAAACACGGAGAACCGTCAAATCAAAAGGGGGAGGGACGCCTCGCTCTTTTGGTGATCAGGAAACTCATTTTTCTCTCATTCTTTTCTTCTCCCGTTTCCTCTATAGTCCAGAATAAGCAATAAAACCGCGCTATTGCTTAAAAAAAGTAGCTTCGTGTTTTCCTCTTTCGTCCCAAACACGTCCGTCGGGTCATTTTGAAAGAATAAACTGCTTATTGATCATTGTTTGGTATCTTAAAATGGTTTCTGTCATGGCCAGGCTGAAACTAAAAGATATTAATTTGTGATTAATCTTTTGTGTTGTTTCATGATCTTTTGAAATGTTTTGAGTGATTTAAGGTTAAGTTACTACTGATTCTAAGTGCTTTGGAAGTTAAAGTGCAAGTTGCCACCCACACTTTAGCCAGACAAAGGGGTCAGCCATCTTGTATTCAAGACTCCATTTTGAATCCATACACACGCACACACACACGCACACACACACACACTACTCCTTTGTGAGAACAAAGGACCCCATTCATACATCCTCCATCACATGCAAACACATCCATCTTCAATCATATCACACGGTTATTATTCATCTATTCCACTGTTTATTCATTTGACAAATTGTTAATTAAATGTTATAAAATTCAGATTTCTGTGTCCAGTAGCTTTGTTGTGTCGAAGAGAAGTCTCTGCTCCAAGGATTCTACGAACTTCAAGAAAGACTGATAAGAGTTTTGGATTCAATTTTTCCCCGGAAAAAGGGGAATGGTGCCCCGTATATCTAAGAATATCTTAATTAATTAATAAATCAGTAAATATTTACATATTTACAGAATTTATTGAAGAATCCAAAAGTAAGTTAACGCTTACGAATTGTTCGCTCCTAATAACCCCAACATTTTATTGGTGCAGCCCGCGTGAGGCTTGGATACAGAGATTTCTATCCGGCACAAACAAACAAATAAATCCAAAGAGCTTGAATTAAAAATAATCAGTTGTTCAGCCTTGAACCAGCAACAGAGTGGTGCTGATTTCGCTGAGCAGGAAGCTGCATCGAACTCTCACCAGTAACTCAGTGCTTCTTTAAAGGTGCAACGTGTAAATTAATTCTGGTTGACCTTTTAGGTTAAAAATTCAGTTTTCCTTAAAGGTGCAACGTGTAATTAATTCTGGCTAACCTTTTAGGTTAAAATTCAGCTTTTCCTTAAAGGTGCAACGTGTAATTAATTCTGGCTAACCTTTTAGGTTAAAATTCAGTTTTTCCTTAAAGGTGCAACGTGTAATTAATTCTGGCTAACCTTTTAGGTTAAAATTCAGTTTCTCATTAAAGGTGCAGCGTGTAAGTAATTCTGACTAACCCTTTTAGGCTAAAATTAACTGCTAATTTAGCGACTTTAACTCACAGTGGCTATTGTAACTAACTGAAACCTTCACTCAAAGACTGATAACACCCTGTTTGCTAATATTCTGAAGGAATAACTAGCATATTTAACACTGCAAGTGTTGTAAGACGTTGCTACGGCAACGCACCAGCTTTTGCTAAAATACTGAAAGGAATAGTATTTTAAGCGTCAGTCACGGCATTCCGTGCAATCTTAAAACGCTAAAACC